TGTAGCTCCATAAAAAGTTCACTTTTTATTTAGGTACTAAAAATGAACAAAGAATCTAAAAAAATAAGAAATATTATTATTTCCTGTGGCGTAAAAAATAAGGGGGAAATGACCATTAACCTTGATAGCGCGACACTGGTAAAAAAAATTAAAAGTTTATGTCTGGCATTATGTTCTTAAATGATAAGGCAGTAGTCCAGTAACTGAAGACCTGAAAATATGCAAAGCTGTCATTAAGTCGGTCCAGATTTCCTTTGTGGCTCAATTCTTAGGTCTTGATGGTTGCTTTCAAGGGCGAAAACTTTTACCAACTCTGCTGCGTTGGAAAAAGCCCAAAATGGACCCTAAAACTGGTTTCCCGCCAATATCTTCCACACTATGCAAATTAGAGAATTTTTGTTTAGATAAAAAAGAGAGATCTTATCATTATCTACAAAAATGGTCCCTATCATTTTTGTCGGGAATTCGACAGGTTTCGAGATAACCGCAATCAAAAGTCCCCTCGTTCAGCCCCTGCTTTATCTCTATAGCAATGCTGATTAGCTTATAAACGGGTGGACAAATTGTTTCAGAACTCGGTCAAAAATTGATATTTTTCGATGATTCAAAGTTCATTACAATGGGAAAACCCATAGGTATCGATCTATGTGCCTTGAAGCCCGTTATTTCCTGTCAAGAACATTGAAAAAGGGGTCAAAGTTGCGTTTTCCCCACTATTTTGGACCACTTTATAGTAATTCATTCATATTTTTTTTCTTTTAATAGTTTTTTATCCCATTTTTGTTTTAAATGGGATCTTGAGATGTCTCGAATGATCTCAGAAATTTTTTTCCAGTATCTTCCTGGCGTTTTAAAACAAAATTGATTTGTTTATTTGCATTTTTCATACGTTTTCGGAAATCTCTGAAACAAGCAGTAATTAAAAACTCATATTTCATTATATTGTTATTCAATGCACACCATTTTAAAAAAATACATTCGAAAAGTAGACACTCTAAGCTTTAAAATGGTGTACATTGAATAACAATATAATGAAATATGAGTTTTTAATTACTGCTTGTTTCAAAGATTTCTAGAACTCCGAAAACGTAAGAAAAATGCAAATAAACAAATCAATTTTGTTTTAAAACGCCAGGAAGATACTGGAAAAAAAATTCTGAGATCATTCTAGACATCTCAAGATCCCATTTAAAACAAAAATGGGATAAAAAACTATTAAAAGAAAAAAATATGAATGAATTACTATAAAGTGGTCCAAAATAGTGGGAAAACGCAACTTTGACCCCTTTTTCAATGTTCTTGACAGGAAATAACGGGCTTCAAGGCACATAGATCGATACCTATGGGTTTTCCCATTGTAATGAACTTTGAATCATCGAAAAATATCAATTTTTGACTGAGATCTGAAATAATTTGTCCACCCGTTTACAAGGTAATCAGCATTGCTATAGAAATAAAGCAGGGACTGAACGAGGGGCTTTTGATTGCGGTTATCTCGAAACCTGTCGAATTCCCGATAAAAATGATAGGGACCATTTTTGTAGATAATGATAAGATCTTTCTTTTTTATCTAAACAAAAATTCTCTAATTTGCATATTGTGGAAGATATTGGCGGGAAACCAGTTTTAGGGTCCATTTTGGGCCCTTTCCGACGTAGCAGAGTTGGTAAAAGTTTTCGACCTTGAAAGCGACCGCCGAGACCTAAGAGTTGAGCCACAATGGAAATCTGGACCGACTTAATGACAGGTTGGTCCCTTCAGTTACTGAACTACAGATGATACCTCCTAACACATCGTTGATTTATTTTCTGAACACTTTTCTAGTACTTACAGTCATGAAAATGCAGACTTATCTGTTTTAATTTATTAAAAACAACTTTAATATTTCCTACCAAGTATTTGGTACAAGAAGTTTTTAATGGTATACTAAATCTTAAGGACTCCACAGCACTTCCGATTTTTGATAACATGATTTGAATTTTAGTTAATTATTTCCTCCATATTTTGTCCATTATATCGCAAAAGTCGTTCAGCTAAATAATATACAACCATACGTGGAAAATATTTGTCATAACTGCGTATTTGTAGATATCTATTGATAGGCAATATACCAATTGTTTAGCAAGGTTTTTATCGTTTATGGGGAATTAAATATTTAACTGTCTAATTAGGGTCGCAGGTACCTACTTGGAATAAATACTTATTGTAAAGGTACCATTTCGGTAGCCGCGTCAAGAGACAGGAGACCAGTAGGACGACAGATGCATAAATGTTACGCTCCGTTCATTTCGGAAGCTTGAAGAAGTGTCGCGCGACACTTGCAAATAACCATTCGAGGGAACGATCAGCGTTGCCAGACCTACTGTTTTTACGTAGATCCAGTGTTTTTGTCTCTAGTAAATTTTGTTCTTAATTTATTAAATTTGCCTTATTCTTCAGCAAATGGTTAAAGAATATTTTCTCTAGTAAATGTTCTGCAGTAAAAGCAGCGTAATAAGCATCCACTACTGTAGGTTGGCTCCATAAAAAAAAAACATCAAGATAATCATTGTTTTTATTTAAAATGAAACAAAGAATTAATAGGGCACCATAAAAAGAACATGCATATGCCAAACACTACGATTTTGAATTATCTGATTCAGACTGATCTAAAAGAAGTAGGTACTTATTATTTTTTATTGTTTTTTTTTCCCGTACGTTAAGTATATAATAGAAATGTTTTTATTCTTTGTTTACTTTCTAATTTGGGTAGAAAAAAGTTTATTTTTCGTTTCTTATATACTTGTTTTTTATTTACTACACTGCAAATTATAATTATCTCCCCCTGTATTAAAATCTACTGTTCAGATCTACGGTTTTTTTTACCCATACTGTTCCAAAATCTGGCAACGCTGCCTAGATCGAAAGAAATTTCCATCCTATAATCACCCTCAAAATGAACCGATGCTCGAGGACAGTGACCCCGAGTGCGACAGGCAGCAAACCTTTGCCCCGAGGCAGATTCAGAAGTGTCTCCAGGAAGTGTCGTCTTGACGACACTTCTTGTGTCGCGCCGTGCGAAATGTGTTTCATATAATTGTATGTATTTTAGATGTGAAGCGACACTTCTTGGTCGCGTCGGCGGTCGTCTGTCGCGTCTACCGAAATGGTACCTTAAGAATCTGTTAGTGGCACTGACTCTGCACAATCTTATAAATAGGTAGGTATATTTACCCCTGTTAAGTCTTCACTTATTTAATATAAATTTAAATTATCATCCAGTATATAACGTAATATGTCATATATATTTATTATTCCCAATATTATACTTTGCCAAGACGGTATTGCCCTAATGAGTAAACGGCCATATCCGCGGTGGCGAAGAACGAGTAAAAATTCGACCGACCGGGCAGAAATCAGTATCGCCTCGAGTGTCGTAAAATACAGATCTGTTTAAGCTTGCGATTATTAGATACAAAACCGGTAATTCTACATTCCCGTCAAATACCAGCCCCTAATATACAGTCCACGACCCCTGCAGCATAGGGTGGACGCGCCCAGGAAAGAAGTAAGCATCAGGAAGCCGGGAAACTTAAAGGTAGGACCTGACTGGCAAGGCTTTAATTTTCTTTTGCGCGTTACATACTCTAGCTTAACCATAACCTAATCAACCCCAATTTCCAAATAATGGTTGAAATAATACGTTTTAGGTTTAGGTCATGAATTTTGCCAATAAAATTATTGATATATTTAACAAATACGTTTAAATTAACTTTTCTTTATTCCCCAAATATTTTCGACGTTTTTTTTTGTATTTGTCATACAGTTTGTCTACTTAAGTTGAAACCATATAGAAAACTTTATTATTAGTTTTGTGAAAATTTTTATTCTTGATTAAAAGTTCTACATGGTGCAAAATTTAAAATTCAACCATCAGATATCAATTATTTTAAGACTTATACGAGGTTTGTCAAAAAATTTGAATTTTACTCAGGAGTAAAGAACTTTTAATTTTTGCAATACAGAAGAATGTTGTAAAGTTATTTTTAATTAAAAGTTATATTCAAATATACAACTCAGAGATTACAGGAGATGTAACTACTAACAAATATCGTGCGGTCCTGAATAAAACCTATTCTAAGGGACACAGGAGGGTTGTCATATGCCTATTTCATTATTCTCGTTTTGTTTACAAAATTATTTACATATATTAAAAAAAGGTAAAATAATTCTACCTATTTTATTGCAACTGAACCCAAAACATTTTGAATCATTAGTTATATCAAATTTAACTAAATTAGATGTAATTTTACCAAATTATATCTAATAATTTTCATTAAATTCCAAAACCTAGTCATGTTAGGTTGGAAGTGGCAACAGGGCTTACACCGGCATGTATATTTACGTTGTTTATTATAAGCGCACAGCAGCTTACACATTTATTCATTGATAAAAAAAAGTTGTATTTGCGTAAAATTCTTCTATTTATCCCCTCTCTTACTTTCACTTTTCGTCTCCTCGCTGCGTACCTACAAATAAAGCATATTGATATTGATTGTTGAATTAATCTTGGCATCGTAAATATTATATTTTATCAATGAATGGTTATATCTGTTAACTCTGATGCAACTACAGTCATTTACTTATTTATTGTGCCCTTTAAATCAACAAATAATTATGGCTATTTTAGTCCTTTGTCAAGAATGGTCAGAAATGTCAATGAAGTTAGATATCGATTTTTCTGTCAATCTGTATTCTTTTAAAACACAGAAATAGATTTGAATAGGTTTGTATTATTGTAGTATGTAAATATTTGTATTATTATAGTATCTAAATATTTGGCTCTATTGTATTGTATATATTTTTTTTCTATAATGGGGTTTTCCTGAATAATGAATAAATATATAAATAAGTTCATTTAAGGTCAGTCACTATTAGCGCCGCTCTTATTTTGACATCTAATCGTTTAAGTTTTATAACTGACTTTATTCACAAATATCGATGATCTCTTTTATCTCTAGATCCACAAAATAATCGGCTTCGCTCCTTCTCTTCTCCAAGTCATCATGATGTCAGACTGTGATATGCCTGTTCGACAAGCCGGCGCCATTTACCTCAAGAACCTCATCTCGACAAACTGGCAGGATAGGGAGGCGGAAACGGGCCAACCGATACCTTTCGCCCTACACGAACAGGACAGAGCCTTGATCAGGGACAGCATCGTGGACGCTGTCGTGCACGCACCCGAATTGATAAGGACCCAATTGTGCACGTGCGTCAATCACATGGTCAAACACGATTTTCCTGGAAGGTGGACGCAGATCGTCGATAAGGTATGGATCTTATTTTTGGAACAGGAACAGAGATAATTATGTTATTATTTATATTATAATAGATTAGTGTATACCTATCAAATCCGGATCCCAATGGCTGGCATGGAGCCTTTCTTTGCCTGTATCAACTAGTAAAAAACTTTGAATACAAGAAAGCTGAAGAGCGCGGTCCATTACACGAAGCCATGAATCTTTTGTTGCCGCAATTGTACCAGCTTGAAGTTAGATTGCTGCCGGATCCTTCGGAGCAGTCGGTGCTCCTTCAAAAGGAGGGACTCAAAGTCTATTTTGCTCTTACTCAATACATTCTACCATTGGATTTGATCAGCAGGGACGCATTCGCTCAGTGGATGGAAGTTTGCAGACAGGTCAGAATTTATTTATTATGGAATGAAATGTCTGAGTGTAGCTGGAGGTAAAGGATGCAGCCAACACCCTTTTTATATGTTATTATTTTAATTCATTTTATAAGCAGTGGTTGATCATTGTATAAGTAGTATATATACTAGATATAAGATATGTACCTCTTATAATATATGATAGGGTCCTTTATCTCCAGTTACTGATATATTATTTTGCGTTTTTTAATGACATATTATTCAAATGATACTTTTTTATAGAAAAGCTCTTGTCAATGAACTTTACATTTTACACTCTCATTGCCTATCTACTTTCAAAGATGCAATATCGGTAATAGAAAATATGCACTTAATTGTTCACATACTTACCCTTTGAAATGGTATTTATGATGTTTTTGTAGTGCTAAATAAAATTATTCCTTATTTGCAACCCGCCCTTACGAAATACTAAGTGTGTTACTAATCGGAATAAACATTTCTCCATATTTTAATAAGTTGGTTTGCTTTAAATTTGAAATTATACTAACTTGAGTTAATGTTAAAATCAGGTGGTAGAACGTCCCGTACCACCAGCAGCATTACAGCCTGACGAAGACGAACGACCTGATTTACCATGGTGGAAGTGTAAAAAATGGGCTTTGCACATTCTGTACCGTATGTTTGAAAGATACGGTTCACCCGGACATGTGACAAAGGAGTACAACGAATTTTCGGAATGGTAAGTCTAATATTTCTTGTTTCAGATATTTTGATATTCGTTTTGTGACTTCCGGCTTTGTTTCACGTTTTTCCCCAACTATTAGAGAGTTGAAGTGATGCTAGGAACGTAAACGTATACGTGAAAATTGACATCTACGCATGCGCATTCAAATATCCGTCACGTTCACGTCTACGTACATACGTAAGCTTGCAGGCTTTGGCGTAACGCAAATAACATAACCTCTGTTTTAATTGGAAAATAAGAAATCCTAATAATAATTGTCATTATCTGTCATGACATGTAAATGTCACGATGCGTTTAACAACTTCAACTCATATTTTGGACTATACCGTAAACATTATTTTTGTGCGTTGACGTTCACGTTTACGTTAACGTACTGGAAACACTTCAACTCTCTATTTTTATTTCCCTTATATATCTTTTCTATATTGTTTGTTGATATTCCTCCCAGCTTTCTGCTTATTGTACTAGTTGATGTCAATTGTTTGAGGTCAATGACCTTGTTGGTTTCTGCAACCGGCTCATTTCCCTTTCCCATTTCACATCTACTAAAAAATTAACAATGATTAATTGAGGTTTGCACTTAATTGTTCACATACTTATCAATTCTAATGGTATTTATGATGTTTTTCAAGTGCTAAATGAAAATTTTCCTTATTTGCAACCCGCTCTTACGAAATACTAAGAGTGTTACTAATCGGAATAGACATTATTTTTCTTTTCATACTAATGAGGGACGGTAAAGAATGGAGTTGAGGATATAGATAGATTGATGAATTACGTTATGAAGTATGAACCAATTCTTCTTTTCATACTAATGAGGGACGGTAGAGAAAGGAGTGGAGTATATAGAATGATGAATTCCGTTATGAAGTATGAACCAATCTCAAAAATGTCTTGTAATTGTCACTTTTGGTTTTTATTGATCACTTATCCTAGAGCTATCAAAGATCTGAGTTATCTTTTCTGTTTTATAGTAATTATTTTATATAAATTTTCTAATCCTATATAAATGCGAAAGTTTGGATGTATGGATGGATGAATGGACGATGGATTGTTGCTCAATTACGCCCGAACAGCTGAACGGATCTGGATGAAATTTGGCACAGAAATAGATTATAGTCTGGAATAGCACATATTATGCTACTTTTTATCCCGGAAAAAGTACGGTTCTCGTGGGATAAATTTGTTTTTATTTTTCACAGAGCAAGGAATCGACCTGGTTTTTTGCATAGTGGTAGTGAAACATGAAAATTTCAAATACAGCTATTGAGCATAAATAAATATTGAACTGTTTCAGCGTTTTTGGAATTTCACATTTTAAGGGAGGCCGCGCGGCGCGTGAAAGGTTTTTTGGAGGTATCGATTTTTTTCAAGTTAGAAACATGAAAATTGGAGTTGTAGCTACTCATCATAAGTAAATAATGACGTATTTCAAGGTTTTTTTAATTTTCACCTTTTAAGGAGGGGAAAATGGGGAGTATCGTAAAAAATAAAAATAAAACCCAAAAGAATGCAATAAAAAATTATTAAAAATTGTTAAAATTAATAAAAATTATGAAACATTAAAAATTGTTAAAAATTATGAAAAATAATTAAAAAATTATTAAAAATTAAAAAGAATTCAATTAAAATTGTTAAAAATTGTTGAAAGTTATTAAAAATTATTAGAAATTAAAAAATATTAAATTATTGAAAATTATTAAAAATCGTTAAAAATCGTTAAAAATCGTTAAAAATTGTTAAAAATCGTTAAAAAGTATTAAAAACTGTTAAAAATTGTTTAAATCGTTAAAAATCGTTAAAAGTCGTCAAAAATCGTTAAAAATTATTAAAAATCGTTAAAAATTATTAAAAATCATTAAAAACTGTTAAAAATTGTTAAAAATTATTAAAAATCGTTAAAAATCGCTAAAAATCGTTAAAAATCGCTAAAAATCGTTAAAAATTGTTAAGAATAAAAAATAAAAAATTAATAGAAATTATTAAAAATTAAAAGAATTCATTAAAAATTAATAAAAAATTAATAAAAAATTAATAAAAAATTAATAAAAAATTAATAAAAATTAAAAAAAATTAATAAAAATCGTTAAAAATCGTTTAAAAATCGTTTAAAAATCGTTTAAAAATCGTTTAAAAATCGTTTAAAAATCGTTAAAAATAGTTAAAAATCGTTAAAAATCGTTTAAAAATCGTTAAAAATTGTTAAAAATCGTTAAAAATGATTAAAAACCGTTAAAAAAAATTAAAAAATTAATAGAAATTATTAAAAATTAAAAGAATTCATTAAAAATTAATAAAAATTAATAAAAATTCCAAAAAATTCATAAAAGTTCGTAAAAATTCAATAAAAAGTAATAAAAATTATTAAAAATCATTAAAAATTGTTAAATACTGTTAAAAAATCGTTAAAAATAATTAAACAATAGAAATTATTAAAATTAAAAGAATTCAATATCAATAAAAACTATTAAAAATTCATAATTATTCATATTCATAAAAGTTCATAAAAGTTATTAAAAATTATTAAAAACTATTAAAAATTATTAAAAACTATTAAAAATTGTTAAAACTATATAATTAATAAAAATTCCAAAAAATTCCTAAAAGTTCTTGAAAATTCATAAAAAATAATAAAAATTACAAAAATTAATAAACATTCATAAAAATTATAGATAGAAAAGGAAACTAATAAAAACGCCTATAAAGTCATAAAAATTTCCTAAAAATTTATAAAAATTCATAAGCAATTATAGAAATTCATAAAAATTAAAAGAATTCAATAAAATTAATAGAAACTAATAAAATTTATAAAAATTAATAGAAACTAATAAAATTCATAAATATTCATAAAATTTCATAAAAATTTATAAAAATTTATAAAAATTTATAAAAATTCATAAAAATTCATAAAAAAATTATAAAAATTCATAAAAATTAAAAGAATTCAATAAAAATTAATAGATTTAATAAAATTCATAAAAATCTATAAAAATTCATAAAAATTCATAAAAATTCATAAAAATTCATAAAAATTCATAAAAATTCATAAAAATTCATAAAACTTTATAAAAAGTCATAAACATTCATAAAAATTAATAATAAATTTTTTGATATTGTAAACACGCGTTAAAGCCGCGGGCAACAGTACAAATTAAAGTGTTACAGTTAAATAACGCCGAAAATATGCATTTTATAAAAAAAAGTTTTATAGTTTTTTTGAGGGAAATATTTTAGCTAAATTCTTTTTTTTATAGCTGATCATAAATAATATGGTCATATCGAGGTGGATTTTTTTTTTTCAAATTGGATCACTATTTTTTTACATATTCTTAAATTTCATAAAAACAATAAGAAACTTTTAAAGGAAACTTTTTTATTGGACTTTTACTTATAGAGTAACACCTACTTGAAAATTTTGCTGCACGAAAAAAAGTTGGCCATATTATGGTTAGCTACAAAAAAACGATTTTAGCCAAATTTTTTTCCTCAAAAAACTATAAAACTTTCGTCTGAAACGTTTTTTTATAAAAGGCATTATTTAACGGTAACACTTTAATTTGAACACCCGGTCATATTTTAACAGCGTAATCTACATCCTAAAATATGAGTAAAAGTTCATATGAACATAGGTCCGAAAACGTTTCTTTTCCGAGATACAGGGATATAGTGAAGTCCTGATGACACATTTGTAAATATTTTCTAAACGTTTAAAGATAACTAAGTAAAATTTGGTATAAATACCTTTTTACGCTCTATTTAATGGACTAAACCTCAGTGTTTGTTCATCTTCATAGGTGGGTAAATTAGGGGGGGCTTAGGGTAAAATTGCCCTAAGTTTTTTTTGTTGACAGTTTTTAACATTTTTGATTATAAAATTTGGAAAAACAATGTTTTCTTTATAATAAAGCTACTTTTGTTGCATCTCGCTAGGACACACCATTTTCAAGAGGAAAGCATTTGAAAATTTCAGTTGATGTTATCTTATTCGAAAGTGTAAACAATAATTAGTAGGTCTGAGGAATCAGAAAATTTATCTTTTTTTAACTTTGGAAAACCGATGACAAAAGAAATTTTAAAAATATTTACAAAAATGTGCCATCAGGGCTTTACTTGTAACACCTTGTATCTCGAAAATTAAACGTTTTCGGACCTATGTTTATATGAACTTTTACTCCTATTTTAGGATGTAGATTACGCTGTTTAAATATGACTGTCTAATTTCGGGACACTCTGTATTTTCTTTCCACATGATTTATTATTGTTGCATTTTTTATTACCATTCTACATTTTTATAAGACTAAGATTTTCTTAATTTTCCACCTAGGTACCTTCAGACATTCAGTTCTGGTATTCTTGAAGTACTTTTAAGAGTTCTAGATGGATATCGTGGAGGACATTGGGTTCCACCTAGGTAAGCCCAAACATTTACATTTTCGACAAATGTTTTAATTTGATAAATCGATTAGGGTGCTGCAACAAACATTAAATTACCTCAATCAAGCCGTGTCGCATGGGCATACTTGGAAAATATTGAAACCGCACATGCCGGCAATAATACAGGACGTCTTGTTCCCTCTCATGAGTTATTCGGCAGAAGATCATGAACTGTGGACTGTTGACCCTCATGAATACATTCGAGTGAAATTTGGTAAGTGAAACTCAATTTAAATACTATTATTGTTTATTAATCGTGCTCCTAAGCAGTCAATTGAATGATTACAATTGGTTACAATATTGCCAGATTTCCCGGTGCAATTATTGTAAGCTTATATTTCAAATAATTTGTTTACACATAGTTTTATTGATACATTAAAAATTTTAAAAAGATCAGACAGCTATGTTCTATTTGAATCTTCTTACATTTCACAAAACAATTAAATCCTCTGTTCATTGGTACAAGTCACAATGCATTCGAGATATTTATTTTATTTATTTATTTATTTATTTATACAAGTTCATACAAGTTTACAAGTTTATTAATAATGTAATTTCTGGAATATAAAACAGCAAGCGCCTAGGTGAGTGAATACTTGTATTGCGCTGATTAATATATGTTTAATAATTTCATTTTAATATAATATAATTGTAATAATATTGCGTACATCTTTGAATAAAATAATGATGTGATTACAGATATGTTTATACCTACCCTACTCTAGTATTTTTAAAAACTCATAATAATATAAAACAATAAATGTTTTACTTAGTTTAGATAAAGTTTTTATGCTTGTAACATTCCTTATACTATGTGGTAAAAGGTTATATGTTTTTGACAATGTATATACCAAGAATCTATGATAAATATTTCTATTAAATTAAGAAAAATATAAAATTTAAATCTTAATAATAATGATTTTTTTGGTCTTCTGTGACATCTGACACAAAATTTTGCAAAAGTTTCCGGTGGACTATTTGTTGATTTGAGATGTTGTTTCTGCAGACGTATTTGAAGATTTTGTATCGCCGGTGACGGCAGCTCAAACTTTGTTGCACTCGTCGTGCAAGAAACGCAAAGAAATGTTACAGAAGACGATGGTAATGCTCACGCAAATTCTCACCAATACCGCCACGGAGGCTGCTCAAAAGGACGGCGCTCTACACATGGTCGGATCTTTGGCTGATATACTTCTTAGGAAAAAGCTGTACAGGTAAATTATTTTTGTTTGCGATTTATTTAAATAGGAATGTGGGGTCGTACACGATTTACTTTCCATCTATTTTTAAATCTCAAAATTGGTTGATGATTTGCACTTAATTGTTCACATATTTACCAGTTGAAATGGTATTTATGATGTTTTTAAAGTGCTAAATTAAATTGTTCCTTATTTGCAACCCGCTCTTACGAAATACTAAGTGTGTTACTAATTGGAATGAACATTGTTTTCAATTACTTATACTTTTTTGGGGGGTATTCAATACTAATTTTCCTCGACTTTCAATCCATTATTAACCAGTTATAATATTAAATTTTTTATCAAATAAGAAATCTTCTAAATTTCTTACAATTGCAACATATTAATAGTATATTATTAAACGAGCAATAATGGCCATAAATTGCGAGTCTAATACTATACTTTGTCCACGACCATTATGGTTTCTTTATTAAATAAAAGTTAAGTGTAGAATGAAAAGTTTTTATTAAACATAGGTAACTAACTGTTGTTTTTTCCACTTTTCAATTTTTTGATTTTCGATTTTTCGATCTAGAAAATATCGTTATGAAAAGTATCGCCTATCTTTAGTTATCTACCGGAATGTGCCAGAATTACAAAAGCGTGAATTATTTTCATATCAGTTTAGACATACGTGCTGTCGTGACGTCATACCGTGACTAATGGATCATTATTCACTAGTGAATAATAGGTATTATTATTCTTAAGGAAGTACAAGTATAATGAATGTTTTATAGAACAGTCGTGGACAAACATTTTTATTTTGCTGAAATTCATTCAAAAATGGTATTACGGTATGGGGCGCCTCTAGCTTTGCAGAAATGTATTGTTAGGTGTATCTATCGGGTTCGACCAATTCACCCTAGTTACATTATATATGTATAAAAAATAAAACTTAATTATGTGTAGTATTTATTTTGGTACTTTTAAAATACAGGGTGTCCCAATGAAAAGTAGCCATTTCCAGAGCTTATAACTTTTAAACAAATCGTAGAAACGTGTGGTTTTTGTGTTATTTTGCTATAAGTTTTGTTTCAGTGACACAAATTATGTATTACCTATACAGGGTGTTTTTTAAAAATCTCTTAAATTCACCGTAACCAAATTTTAACAAATCGAAACGGGCTACTTTTTATAGGGACACCCTGTATGTACATAAAAATAAAGATACGTATTTATGAAATAATGATATTCATTCATATAATACAAAATAAAACATCAGGTTTTAGTTTTTATTTAAAAATCTCTCAGTAGGTGCTTGACCACTAATATTATAATGGTTTTAAAATTGTATAACACACTGCCATATATGATTATGTTTCCTTGTTAACTCGAAAGTTTTACAAATCCTTGAAAGCTCTCTTATTGGAATTATGGCTGTATGGTTACCTTAATTCGCAAATGTCGGAAGTCCTTTTATTTTTGTCAAAATTGAGATTTTTTTGTCATGTCGACTAATCTACCTAATAAAAAATTGCAGCTGAGAAAACTGCTATTTCCTATTACTATGGATAGATAATTATTTTTAAATACGAAATCCAAATATACAAATATTAATTTTAACAATACAATAAAAAGTAATAAGTAATAAAATTTACAATAGAAAGTAATAAAGACAATTACCTTTAACATATAAACGTTAAATATGCTGTTTATGAATGAATTTAGAGACTGGTTTTAAAGCTATTTACAGAATTACTATTTTTAATAATATCAGGAAGTTGATTGAAACTATGGAAGCCTCTAAAAAAGAGAGAGTTCCTTGTACTGGCTCTATTAGCTCTACAAAGATATAGTAAATTGTTATTTCTAGTTGCGTACTGGTGAATATTGCTATGATGAACAATATAATCATTAAAGTAGGCTGGTGCAAGATTATTTAGAATTTTGTAGGCCAATACTATTGTGCGCAGGAAAATCCTCTACTTAAACGTCTAACTATTGAAGTAAAGTTTACATTAAAAGTTTACAACTGTTTACATTAGGTGTGTAAAACGATTCGTTTTTATAATTGTTCTCATACCTCTGTTTTGAAGTTTTTGTAATTTACTAGTTTTATTATCATTAAAAAGAAATAATACGGATGCCCAGTAGTCAAAATGAGGTTGTATTATCGTGTTATATACAGTTAACTTAGTTTCAGTTGAGAGATGTTGAAAAATTCTACTAAAAAAGAATAACTTTTTGGACATTTTATTATAAACATAATTAAAATGAGAGTCTAAGGATAAAATATTATCAATGTAAAAACCAAGATATTTAAAATTTGAAACTATTTCAATAATTTCATTGTTTACCATTAGATATATATTTAATTTAATTTTGCTATATTTGTATTTATTTGTACAGATCATATCTTTGATTTTAGCATTAAGTTTTAGTTTATTATTTTGCAGATATATGCTAATTCTATTTAATATTGAATTCATTTTATTCACTGCTACTTGCAAATCTATATCTACATATAATTGCATATCATTGAGATATAAAATAAACAAAAGAGGTCCTAGAACACTCCCTTAAGGAACTCCTGTATAAACAGAAATTTTTGAAATGCATGCGCCATTAAACTTTACTTGCTGCTTGTGATTATTTAAATAGTTATAAAACCAATTAAAAACCTTACCATTAATACCATATTACAACAGCTTATTGAGTAGGAGTACTCTATCAAGTGCCTCAAAGGCTCTCTTTAGATCTAAAAATACACATATGGAATACTTATTATTTTGTTTCATTTTTAATTTTACATAGTGTTAATTGTAGTGCTGTTTCACATGAATGTTTACACCTAAAACAAGATTGGTGAGTGATTAATATATCATGAGATTCAATATGTTCAACCAATTGCTCATAGACTGCAAGCTCAATAAGCTTTTCAATAGGTGGTGATGTATTTATAGGCCTAAACTCAGAGGCCTTATTGGAATTCGCAACATCTGGAAAAGTGCCCATTTGCAAAGAAGTGTTAACCAGATTTAAAGTTGCATGTCCAACTGTTTGAAAAATTTCGTTTAGCATTTTTGAATTTCAAACTTCATTAAGAGAGAATTTATTGTCAAAGGAATTAATAATTTTCCGAAGGTTAACTAATGATAAAGGTTTGAAAGAAATTAAAGGTGAATACAAATTACAATTGGTACTATACTGTTTCGCAGTTAAAACTTCCAACTATATTGTTAAAGCTTTCAACAAAATAGGTATTAAATTTCTCTACAGTTTCAAAAGCGTTTTGGCTGAGCATATTTCCATCAGGACCATCAAAAAATTATGTTAAATGGAGAATTATATGTATTTACACTGATTAATTTTTTTAACATCCGCCTCATTTTTGCTTTTATATCTATCAATTTTAGCTTTATGATAGGATTCTTTTTTTTTTAACATATTGACCACTTCATTTCTATATTTTTAAAAGTATCCCATTTAGCTATTTTATTACTGTTATTACATATTTTAAAAGATTTATAGGCAGCATCTCTAGACCTCATCCTAGAATAAATTTCATTGTCAATCCAAGGTAAAGTAGTAAAAGTTTTAATAGGTGCTATATTATTTATTTATAATGGTTGTACAATTAGATAAAATGTCATATAGTTCATTAATATTGGTTGAATAAAATGAGCAGTTACACAGGTTTAATTTGATTGGGTCTAAATTATCTGTATTTAAGTTTCTGTTTTTTTATATATATATATATTCTATTTGCTGGGCATTATTGTTACTAAAATTAACTGAAAGACTAGAATGGTCAGTTAATTTAGGAGAGTTATAAACAACAGCTATAACATTATTTTGGTTTGTTATTACAAAATCAACTACTGTCTCACTAGTATCATTAATACGTGTAGGCTCTGTTATAAGTTACTTAAGTACACAAGTTAAAAAAAAATGTTTTTTATCTTATTAGCATAAAAACTATTACTTAAAAGATCCACATTAAAATCACCTACTAAAACATAGTTACGATTGCGTAAACACACACTATCACAATATTCTTCAGTCTCCAATAAATGTGGCATCAGAGCTGGATGGAGAATGATGCAAACATCCAATATACCAAAATGTACAGGCGATATTAACTTTGATAATTTTACACCAATAATTTCCATCTAAAATATAGGTTTTGAACACAGAATATTCAAAACTTTTATGTATAAATATCAAAATACCTTCAGTAGAACGGGATTTGGAATTACACTGTATGTAGTTATAATTTTCTAAAGTAATTTCAACGTCTTCGATATCATCAGTGACTCTTGTTTCACTCAATAATATGAGTTTAGGATTTTAGCATAAAATATTGTCTTTATTTTTTATAAAGCTTTGTGAATTTAGATATATAATACAAGTATGTATTAAGTAGTATATTAGGGTTTAAGATGCGTTTTTTGTAGTATTACATTTGGTTTTTCCACTATAGTGAACTTATTATTAATATATTTGTTTTTAAATTATCTCCATTATTAATAAATGCTTGCAATTCAGCTTTAACTTTAGCCTAATAGTTACATTGAGATTGTGTTTGGTCTGCAAAAGTAACAGTACTAGGAATGTTGATTATTTTTTTTTATTTTTAAGTATCATTTTAGCTTTTTCATGTGATTTTAAATTTAATTTGATAGTTCTAGTCTTATTAGGTTGATACTTTCAAAGTCTAAAAACTTTAACATCATCAGTACTTACATTAAGGTTGCTAATTATATTTATGAGTCTCTAAGTCTTCCTTATTCCTGTCTTTCAGCCAGATATCTCTTTTTAGACTCATTACCATTTAAGAGTATAACATTGGATGCACGATTTTGTCAGTCAATCATTTCTGATATCCATTCTTCCTTTTCGTTAATAAATGTTGATGCATTAAGGATATTGGAGAATACTTCTGAAAGAGCTTCGGTATGTTTCATGTCTTGTAGTTTAGCATCTAACTTATCAATTTTTAAAGCTTGGGTATTAATTTAATTCCGTTTTCACTCCATTTTATTAGCCTCGTATGTTGATTCAGTAGCCACTGCCAATTTTATCAAAACAATTGAAATGATTTATTTTACTAGCCCAACAAAAACAGTTAGAAATAAAATATGAATATATTATTAACTACTTTTTTGATAATTGAAGACAATGTTTTTAACGCACTGAAAACCGTTTTTCTAATTGGAAATTTTGAATATCTCTTTTCATGTAGAGTATGATTCGCACTACGATTTTATGTAAAACAGTTTATTTTATAAATTAGAACTCAAGTTAAACTTGAATTCAAATAGGAGCAACTGAAACACGTCTAACTTTCATTAATCATTATCGATATTTTACTATAAGTCATTTTCACCCGCCATCTTCACTACTTTTTCCTGTAAAATTTCCATCCATATTTCTTTATTAAAGACTGTTCTGTATTTAAAAAATCTCAAGTGTTTTTTTTTTCAATTGTTTGTTACTTTTAGTGTTTTAAATATTTTTGTGCTATAAATATGTATAAAAATAGCGACTAAAATCTTTCTATCTACATATAATTTTTCCACAGAGACCAACTGGACCAGCTGTTCATAAAATACGTTTTCCCGGAATTCAACAGCGACCGGGGACACATGAGGGCGCGCGCCTGTTGGGTGCTGCACTACTTCGCCGAATTCAGTTTCAAACAGGATACCATTTTGATGGAGGCCATCAATTTGACGGTACGCGCGTTGCTCTTCGACAAGGATCTACCCGTCAAAGTGGAGGCGGCCATAGCTCTCCAATCGTTACTCAATTACCAGGACAGAGCGCAGAAGTACATCGAGCCGCAAGTCAAACAAATCGCTCTCGAATTGCTTACCATCATTAGAGAAACCGAAAACGAGGACGTGACAGGTTAGGAAAGAATTTAAATTGATATCCTTAATGATTTCTATAAACCAGGATCGTCAATTATGAAAATTTTTTTTTTTTTTATAAAACTATTGTCCTAGATGTACGAATTTATGAAACAAATTTATTTCTTATGTGATAAACAAAAAAGATATGTCCAAGAAAGTACCCTGAAAATCATTCCCTGTTTGTTATCTCATTTTTTACTTATAAGGATAGTATTAATTGTACCTACAAGTTCATAGTTTAAAAAATGTGAATGGAAATATTAGTAATTATAATTCAAAATTTGTTCTTGAAAAATCTATCATTTCCTCACCGTTTTAAAACGTGTGATTGAAGCGAAATTAAAAAGTCTTCCAAGCCCCACTTCAATTTTTTTTTGTAGTTGGCAATATTGGCCCGATAACATACACTAGAGCGGACGGTTGAAGGAAAGATGTTTTGTTAAAACTAATTTGACAAGTTTTTTAAAGCCATTTTCGACTTTTTTGAGAATTAGCAAGATATTCAGTTTGCAAGGCATGTTTTTATTATTATTAGAAAATTTGTAATACTGATATTGTTGAGAAATACGTAATACCACGAACTATTAAATTTACACGTCACTTTACAAGAATAGCAAAATTTTTAATCAGATTACAGACCAATTTTTTGGTTCATGCATAAAAAATAAATCTAGGGTTACTTTAGTAAGTAGTGGCATCAGATCGCTTTATTTCCCCTGTTAAATTTCATAAAAAATTGCTGTTTCAATTTGTACTTTTTTATGCATTACTTTTCTTTGAAAACGTCCAATAGCATCGAAAACATTGAAAAACATTTTTCATCGTTTTCATAAATGTATAAGTAATTAAGGTCAAAATTATGTTTTTTTTTCCTCAACATTTTCTTTCTTTCTTTCGCACATTACTTTCCATTGAAAATCGTCAAATGCGATTATTTAGAATGCTGTTGTTGTTGTTGCTTAGGTGTCATGCAAAAATTGGTGTGCGTCTACACTCCACAACTGGCGCCGATCGCCGTCGAAATTTGCCAGCACTTGGCGACGACGTTTAATCAAGTATTGGACACCGACGAGGGATCTGACGAGAAAGCGATCACGGCGATGGGACTATTGAACACCATCGAGACCCTTTTGACAGTCATGGACGAACAACCGGAGGTAATGAGATTATTGGAACCGACGGTGCTGCAAGTGATAGCGAACGTTTTGCAAAACGAGGTGCAGGAGTTCTACGAGGAGGTGTTGGCTTTGATTTACGATTTGACCAGCAAGCAGGTATCGCCCGATATGTGGAAAGTTTTCGAATTATTATACCAAGTAAGTGTCAGTAACTCGAAATTTTGACCGGATTTTGTATCATCGGATTTTGACAGGTATTCATGAAGAACGGCATCGATCACTTCACGGACATGATGCCGGCGCTACACAACTACATAACGATCGATACGAACGCCTTCTTGTCGGACGAACAGCGGCTGTTGGCCATCTACAACATGTGCAAAGAAATATTAACCAAAGACTCGGGCGAGGATCCAGAATCGCACGCTGCCAAATTGCTGGAGGTGGTGTTGTTGCAGTGTCGCAAGAAGATCGATCAGGCGGCGCCGATGTTGATCGAATTGGCGGCGGCGCGACTTTTGAGAGAGGTGAAAACGAGCGAATTGCGAACGATGTGTTTGCAGGTGCTTATCGCGGCGCTCTACTACGATCCCCAATTGCTCTTTACCGTGTTGTCAAAGATGCCTGATTTCACTAATCACTTTATCAAGCAGTGGTTGCACGACACGGATTGCTTTTTAGGTGATTATTATTTTGTTATAACAAATGGACTGAGGTATAAGGACATATTTAAATATTTCTCCCAATAAAGATACATTTGAACTACCGTTGAACAAAATCATCTTTTCAGGAATTCACGATAGAAAATTGTGCGTATTGGGCTTATGCACGCTAATTTCAATGCCAAACAAACCCCCCGTACTGATGGAGGTAGCACCCAAAGTAGTACCGGCCTTGATACTGCTTTTTGAAGGCCTCAAGAGGGCGTATGCGGCCAAAGCCGCTGAAGCGGCCGAAGAGGAAGAGAGCGAAAGTTCCGACGGAGAAATTGAAGGAGGTAAAGCGGCGGTTTTTGTTTTCATTCTTTTTATTCCATACGATCATTTTTGATTTATTTTGTAGATATCCTGAGTTCGGATGAGGACGAAATCGACGACCAGGGACAGGATTATTTGGAAAATTTGTCGAAGAGGGCGACGAATGCTTTGACCGCCCAGGGTATTAACGCCAACGCCACCATAAACGATATTAATGATAATTCCGAAGACGAGGATTCCGATTTCGAACCAAATGAAGAAACAGTTTTGGAATCTTACACGACGCCCCTCGACGAAGAAGACTGTGATGTAGATGAATATCAAGCGTTCAAACAAATTATGACAGGTGATACGTCAAAGCATAAAAACTTAGTTTATAATATTCAAGAGAGTAGTCGTTTTCTTTTTACAACTAATCTGAGCTAACTTACATCGACTAAGCTGAGATGTACGTTCTTTTTATGATTGTAAGTCAGAATCTTTCTTCCCCCCTTACCGATGCTAAGGTGCACGGTACTTGACGTCAAACATATCCCATGAATTCATTATTTTAGAGAGAATAAAAGACTATGATAACAGGGGGTGAGATTTGTAGTGTTGAATGTTGAAAAAATTATAAAATTTGATTAAAATATGGATTGTTTTTAAACGGATGACATGGGGCACGTCACCTGTCAACCAAAATTCGCGTTCTTTTTACAGTTAAGCTTAGATCAGAATCTAACTTTTAGTTAGTCAAGTATGCTTGTAAAAAGAAAACTACTATTAATATAGTTGGGCCATCTTAAGCTTTTCCATTTATGCATTAAAAGTTAAAAGAGATAACTTGAAGTTTCAGCAGTAATCAAACAGCAACTCTTTACTGTTATATAGTAATTGAAAATTTTTAATATAATTTTCGTTAATTCAACATAGCTGGAATACTGGGTGTGACTTTTTTTAAAATGCTTAGATTTTTTAATAAATTCTACATTCATTTTTGATTTTTTTTGCAAGAGAAAGTTGATGTATGATCTTTTTACTTCCCTCTATAAAAGGAAAGTATTATAATTGTGAAAATGAGTCACCTTCCATAATTATTTTAGATTTCCACATTTCAGGGTCCCTAGATTACAAAAAACATGTTTCCTCATTTTGTTGGTCTATCGGCGCGATAGCTTAAAAACGGATTTATAGAAAAACTTTGTAGAAAAACGTTTGTATGTAGACAAGGTTCCGTTATGGCTCGAAACCAGTTAAACACCTGAGAATTTTAGATGCCAAACATTACAGATCCTAATAATAATAATAATAAATAAGTTTTGAAAAATTCAGAATGGTGCTGAAAGGAGTGGTATTTAATCAAAACAGGTCCCCCTTGAATGGAAATAATAAAAATTGTCCTTTTGGTTTGTGTAACTAGACCATTTTAAAAGCAACCATTCATTATTGTTCAATAATGGTAATCATGATGTAGAATACTTTAAAAGTTTTACTTTTCATAGTACTTCTTTTTTTTTTTAAACATAAATTCGACTAAAATTGATCGTTTAGGTTGATCCTTTTCGATAAACTTAATTTTATTTATTCTAGATATATTAATACTCAGATACAAAAAAATAAAAATTGCAACGAAAAAAATTTGGATCTAATTGAAAGTGTTATAATTTTTTCTTTTTAATCTTATTTCGATAATTTTTTTAGCACACTGTATTTTTATCAATTTTAATTTATATATTCAGTATTTTTATAAAAATTTATATTTGACCAATTATACAGGGTTAATCGAAGGGCTATTTTTTACCCTAATTTTGAAACACCCTGTGGGATAATGTCGCTAGTGATTTTTCTTAAAACATTTTACTTTTAAAATATTGTCTCCTCGACATTTGGGTTTTTGGTTCATGTCAATAAGTGCCTTGGTTCATTTTTGAAACTTTTCTTTACTACAGTTTAATCCAAAAATTACAATATTATTTCTTTCTTTTTCTCGAGCTACGCGACTTTTTTTTTTAATATCTAGATTTCTTACTCTAATTTTTGTATTTTAAATTATTTAAATCTGTTTTAATTGATGAAATTTCATCCTTTAAATCATAGTCTTTGCATGGCAGCTCTATATAATCCCTAACCTTACCTCCTACCTTTCATTATAGACATTTTAACACAAGTAGGTACAAACGTGTTTATATCTGTACTGTATATAATTTAGTGTAGCATTGGCCTGGCATGTTCTTTTGCTTTACTAACCTACATGAAAGACATGGGAATCAGTAGTGGATCAAGCACTCATGAATGAGGATTCGTCGTAGACAGGAGCAAAAAGATGCTTTATGGATCTGGCATTGTTGATTCAGTGTGAGATAAGCCGATAAAACTTGCTTATGAACGTTTTATTTCAATTTTTTTAGTGTTCAAAACTTTAAAACGTTTTTCCCACAACTCACGTTTCCAAAGTCGGTGTTTCTCATAACTTCAAAACTACTGCACCTATCCTTTTGAAATTTTGAATACTATTTCTGTAGAGTTTTTCAAATTTCTTATTTTATAATTTTTTTTGCAAGAATCGCGTTTTTTACCTCAAAGTTTTCCCAAAAAGTGAAAAATTGAAATTTCCAAAAACCCTCCTAGTGTTACCTGGGGAAAACGATTATCTAATGAGATAACTTTGATTTTTTTATTCTGATGATCCAGCAACGAGTTAGGAGGGGCTTCCGAATAATTGCTGCTATTTCCGTATTTTTTAATATTTCTACATGAAAATTTGACAAAATATTCTTTGAATGTTATACTTTAATATACCATTAGTTTAAATAAACAGATTTTAACTGTGTTGTCAAAAAAAATCACAAAAATGTGCCCTACCCTTACCCTTAAAATATTTGGAAATAACGATCGGTCGATCAAATAATTAGCATTTAACGTTAAAAGTATACTTTTTTAACGTAATATTATTATGTACAGATGTGCGTAAAAAAGGACTTTTTAAGCTTTAAAAAGTCACAAGGATATTTTGCTTCAAAAAAGGACTGGTGGCAACCCTAACAACTAGTATACAAGTTAATAAAATGGCAACATTTTTATATCTGAATATGTTATTCCTATATCAACCATTTTTGAAGAGATGGCTAGTATTGACATTACCAAGGGACCAGGATCTGATGGTATCCCCCTTCTGTTCTCAGATTTTGTAGTTTTGTTCTTTCGTGGTATCTTCACATTATATTTAATAAGTCACTTGCTTCGGGCATATTCCCTTTGTGGAAAGTGACTATCTTACATCTATTTTCAAGTCTGGTAACAGAGCAGACATATTCAACTATAGACCCATCTGTAATCTTAGTTCCATTCCAAATTTGTTTGAAAAGATAGTAGCTAATTACTTAAGATCTAAATTAAGTTTATCAATAATAGAAGAACAATTTAGGTTTCTTAACAAAAATCTACGGAATTGAATTTACTTGCTTTTGTTGACTATCTGTCGGACGTCTTAGATGGAGGTGGTGAGGTGCATATACCATATACAGCGACGGCGTTTGACAGGGTCAATTGCAAACTTTTGTTAAATAAATGGAGACTGCTGGGATGATGGGAACATTATTGCAATGGCTGGCAAGTTATTTATCTGAAAGATTCCAAACTGTTAAATTGAATAATTACAGATCGATCTAAAAATATTCCCAATTTATTTGGAGTTCTTTAAGGGTCCCATTTGGGACCTTTATTATTTAGATAGATATTTATTGAAGTAGGATAAACCTAATATACAAAAAAATATAGAAATACTACTACAGTACACTTAAAACTTGAAGACAATTATTATTAACATTAACATAATCTGAGTTAAGAAAAATAAATTCGTTACACATTACAAAGATACTTTTTATATTGAGTTTAAACAGCCTTAATTAACAATAAAAACAAATAACAGTTGAAAGCATGAACCCAAATATTAAAAAAGAAGAATAAAAAAGTAATAATCAAATATATAAAAGTTAAAATCAAATTTTATCAGTTTTAATAGAAGTTGTCAATTTTTTTTTTAAACTTGCTAATGAATTACAATCCTTCAAGCCCCTAGGCAGTTCATTATATTCTTGGAAACCTTTATACAATAACGATGCCTGTGATTTCGAATAATTAACTTTTTTTAATGTATATAGCGTTGGTTGATTTTGTGCTGTAATCATGAATATCCCCATGATAACAAATAAATTGATGAAAGTAGGATGGGGCCAAAGAATGAATTATTTTATAAACATAATTGTCAAGTAGTACAAACTTTGTTGAATCGAAAACAGAGAATTTAACATTGTGGTAATTGGTGTAAGATGATTAGTTTTTAATATTATGCGCGTGCCTTGATTTTGTAGTTTTTGAAGTTGATTTAACTTATTGAAATTAAATAAATGAAGAATGGAGGCACAATAATATTTGAAGTTGACAAGTTATTTGAAATTCTAGAGAAGAAATATAATTTTTTCAATTTTTTTTATTAATATAATTAAAGAAATCATTAAAAGTAAGTAGATTATCTAATTGGATACCTAAATACTTAATAGTTAGGACTATTGCGATTTTTTCACCATTTATTTGTAAATTAACACCATTGATATCAAGTGAGCTATATTTATGTTTAGTTGTAAAAATAATTGCTTTTGTTTTAGTTACATTCAATTTCAATTTGTTAAGTTGAAAATACTAGGTAACTTTTTCCAGTATTTTATTCATTTTCTCGATTGCACTCATTAAATTTATATCAGAGCATGCTAGCAGAGTGTCATTAGCAAAGAGATTAATGAATTCACAATCAACAAAAAGTCCAATATCATTCAAATATAGTATAAAAAGCAGCGACCCTAGGTCACTTCTTTGAGGAACCCCTTTGTCAATGTTAATCTCGGGTGATATCTGATTGTTAAAATGTACTTTTTGTTTACGACCTTGCAGATAATCATTCAGCCACTAGTATACTTTTCCACCTACAGTGAATTTTCTTAAGTAAAATACCCCGATCAATGGTCTCAAATGCACGTTTCAGGTCTAAAAAACCGCTACTACATATTTATTCTCATCCACATCATTTTTAAATTTACTCACCATTAACTGTAATGCAGACTCACAGGAATACTTTTTTCTGAAACCAGACTGGTTGTTGTTCATACACAACCAGCTCTAATACCTTTTCAATTGACAGGAGAGTATTTACAGGCCTAAATTCTTCCGATTTTAATGTATTATTAACTTTTTGAATTGGAACAATAGTACTAATTCTTAGTTAAGATGGAACTTCGCCAGTATCAAGTGAGGTATTAATTAAGTTTAAAATAATGTGCCCAATTGTTGCATACACTTCCTTTAGAACTTTAGAATTAAAAATATTAAATGCAGAATATTTATTATCTAACGATTTCAAAATTTTATATAAGTCATGTAAAGTTAGTAAATTAAGGTTGTCAAATACTTTGTAAGTATAAATTATTGTTTAGATTATGCCAGGGAACAGTTGCATCAATACTTCCAATAATATCCATAATACTTTCAACAAAATATTCGTTAAATTTAGTTGCTATGTCAACATTATCATAAAGGATAATATGGCCTGTTTGATCACTAAATTGAACATGATCAGTCACATCATTTAATTTAATATTTACTAGTTTTTTTAGTTTTCCACATCTCTTTAGGATTTTCTTTGAAACAGTCAATTTTATTAAAATAATAAGTAGATTTTTTGATTTCAGCACATTAACTACCTCATTTCTACATTTTTAAAATTTATTCCACATATTCAGCTTTTGATGTTCTACACATGACTTGAAAATAAACATAAAACTTAACATAACATAATGGTCCCTTATACATATAATAAAAAAAAAGAGAAAAGACAAAAGAATAAAAGAAACAGTGATGTAGGTATTTAACATAACAGATTGGTTAAAAGTATAACAAGTAAAAAAAATAAAAGAAAAGAAATTAGAAAAAGAACAATTTTCAACTATATAATTTATAAATTATTTTTAACATAATAAGTTATTTCTTAAATTGACTATACTCTGTTTTTAAACTAGGAGGAGCGAATTGAAAAGACGCATTTACACAGGGAAAAGTAACTAGATTTGTTACTAAGAGCGATTTTCGAAATATAGTCGTGTACAAAATTTATGAAATAATTATCTTTATCGGCCTTAGTCGGCGAACGGCCAATGAGCGGTTAAGAAACGAATAAATGTCATAGAAGTAATTTTTTAATTGGTCCCAGACAACGGTCGCAAATTTCACATTATTGTGATCTGAAATGTGTGTCTAAAACGAAATGTCACTGTCAAATTAAAGTCAATATGGTTGTTGATTGATGTCAGAAATACTTTTTTCTTGCTTTTGAAATCGACTTTTTGAGAATAACTATGATCTTTTTAAAATGGATATTAAATATTTAAGAAAATTGTTAATAAAATATCCAGATGTAGCCAGGTTAGTATAAACTATAAAGATCTGTTTACATTTTTAAGGATAATTTGTTATAGGTATAAAACGTAAAAGTTAATCAGTGAATGACAAGTGGATCACACAGTAACTAAGTAATGTGGATATTATGGCTTATTTAGTGTTAACCCATGGTTAATGCGCTAGAGGGCAAATAAAGGCATTCAAAAGTTTACAGAATTTGTTTTGAAAACTGGAACCAACATTTTCATAATACTATACGTCAACATATATTTTTTAAAGTGAACTATTCATACATACATACCTATGTATGAATTTGAAGTATTTTTAAAATATTTTTTGTGAAAGTAATGTTAACTCATTGTGCCAAATTAAGATTATCCCTAAAGTAGTAGATGGTGTTTTAAATGTTATAACAATTTTGTAAATAGTTTTATTCTATTCTAATAAATAAAATTTGCTTAAATATTTAGTTACATTTTAATCATTTTGGTTAGAAATTCATAAATTTTTAGTTTTAAAAAATCAGTAATAAATTTTTTTTTCTAAAATACTTCGGAATCATCTCTTCATGGTAATCTCTTATCTTTTTACCTTCAAAAACCAATAATGCATTTTCTACAAAACCTTCAGAATCAGCATGTAAAATAATAAGGTGTCTTCCTTTTCTTGTAAGGCTTTTCAGGAATTGCTACCTGTAATAGTACTCAGTGTAGAAGGATCCATAATTGTAGATTTTCAATACAATTGCTTACTGAAGAACTATTATTTACGAAATAAAGTAAAAAACTAAGTAATGGATGAGATATCAAATTATAAAATGTCAGAACTGTCAACAATATCAATTATTAGCTGATGTTCATGCTAAAAAGTAAAGTGTGAAACTGACTGTAATCTGACCAATCACAAGGCTACAGAATTGCCAACTTAAATTTAAATCGCTCCTCTTAGTTTAAAAACAGAGTATAGTATAGGGACCGTGCGTCATGACTTTAACGCTAACTGGTGACAAAAATGTGAACTTTTTGGGGGGTATCTATTAATGTTTTATACGGCATTTATTGTTTAATAATTATTAATAAAATGAAGTCGAATTATTTTCGCAATATCAATATCGAAAAAACTTGTTGCATCCGTGGATGTACAAACACATCACTTTAGAAACCTGGATTTCATTCGATAGTAAAGAAATTTTATAAATTTCCACAGAGCACAATTATGCCTCACACCCAATGATATACATAATTACAAAGATTGCTTATCCATATGTAAATCAGACGACGAAAAGCGTATTTCACTGGGCAAAGTTTTCTTTTTATCTAGCTTGTATCAATTTTGAGCACTTAGTTGTAAATAAATCATTTACAGAAAAATTAGAATCTTTAGTGTTTTCTTGTCATTAAGATTTTTACATATTTAAATGAACATTTTATATAAATATAATTTTACAGATAATGGTTTATTCTGTTGATTAAAACTAATGTAGAATGTTATGAAATAAGAATATCCAATTTGACAAAAATATCACGGCCCTCTTTACAATTTATTAACTATTTCTCATTTATTATTAAAATAAACAAATCATAAATAATACATTGCAATTACTGTCAAAAGAGATTGTAACAAACTTTAAAATATTAAAAATCCAGTGATTTTTTGTAATTTTTTTTAGTGACATTACCATTAAACATTATTCAGAATAATAGATAAGTGTCCAATTACAACTCTTACCAAAGTTGTTCATACCTCATATCAAAATTGTTTACATTACCTTTTCAAAATTGTATTACATATTGCAATTATGTACTTTATGTAGAATTGTTTCTGAAATAGTAGTCTAAAATTATTTATATCCATCTGTTATAAAAATTGTTTAGATCTCTTAATATTATTTAACTACATGAAAACTCAACTTTCCAAATACATAATGACATGTCTTGAAGTAAAACTTTAATTATTATCTTTTTCTAAAGATTAAAATGCTGAAATTTTATTTTAACACATTTGGGCTAGAACGGCTCTATTTAGTGAGCACTAGGAAAGGCACATTGCAACCAGCTTTTCATAATTTTTTTATAGTTGGGTGAGCAATCTATAATATATGTATCATTGAACATCTCATAAACGCCAGTGGATGAATGACATTTCGATTAACATAAAGCTAAAAAGATTTATAATTATTATTATCAATCTTTTTTATTAATTTACATTTTTTAAGGTACAACTTTACAATTTATTGTCACTTAGCCATTTAAATCTTTTTGCTTAAAATGTATATGCATGTCCAGATTTTAATAATGTTTCAAATTTTACGTCATTTTGACCATGTACACGATTGTTTGGTACGGGCCGGTATCTATTTTTAACTATATTTAATATTTAAAAAAATACCCTTCATTATTTACTTGCAATGTTTACCCCATTTAATTCTAAAATTAAACACTAGAGAGGGCTAAGTTCGGCAGTAGTGCTGCCTCTATATTTCATGCACGGTCCCTATTGTGAACATTTTTAAAATTTTGAAGCAGATGATTGAATACGCTAGTTCAGTGATGATGTAATTATGGTTCCACTGACAATTAAAGTGACAGTAGATTTTTTGAGTGCGTTTTGTTGATTTTGTTTACCTAAATTATATCGTTTTTTCACTTTTATAAATATATTCCTAAGGTAAGTAGATAACATACATCAAATCGTCGGTTTACAAGCAAAACTCACTAAGTCAGATTTTTTTTATTTTTGACTTATTTACATCATTTGACAGTATTTCTTCCGCTCTATATACTGATAAAAATTCCACTATCTCCTCTAAGAATTATAAACTTATTTTTAAATTATTTTCATATTCATTAAGTCCATAATAGCATTATTTTTTTCAGGACAAATACATTTAGTGACTTAATGAATTTTTCATTAAATCTGGCTTAGTGTATTTTGCTTGTAAGCCGACGAAATATACAATCGTTTAGTTACCAAATACATACCTTTAAACTATTTTTTATGACCTGTAAACAATATTTAGAAATAAACTAAAAACAGTAAAAACGTATGTGTCAAATTTATTGATGTTTTTGTTAAAAGTTTGGTTAGATTTAAATGTCAGTGGAACAAAAATGACATCACACTGAACTAGCGTATTGATCGATTCCTTTATGAAACAAGCTTTTCATAGAACTACTTTTATTAGTTGTTTGTATATAAAATTTGATAAGAGTTTGCTGCTCTTGTGTTTCTTTGATGTATTTCTATGACCGGGATTAGTTGACAGTTAAGATATTCAGGCAACAAATTGTTTATTATTTTAAATATAAAAACCTCTGTTTGTACATATAGCAGTTATTCAGTACTTAGCCAATTTAAGGCGTCTATCATGAACTGAATACTGGTATATTTGTTACAACCTATTTTTTCCCCTACTTTTTTAGAAATATACTCAGTGTGTTTATTAAATTTTAGTTTTCTATCCAACATAACTCCTAAATACTTTATTTCTTGGACCATTTCTACTGTTTCGTTATTTATTTTAATGTCTATAGAAAGTTGTTACCAATGAACATAAATTTTGGTTTCATCTCATTAACTTTTAATTTATTTTGTTTGAATTTAGATATTAATAACCCCAATTCAAGGTTGGGGGTCTCAGCAACTTCAGTAAAATCATTCCCATAGTATGAGTAGTAAAATAGTTTATCAAAAGTTACTAAACTTAGGAAACGTTTAATACGTTTGTTTATATTTTCAGCGATCCAGGGTCAGGATCCGGAATGGTACAATGCGTTAACGACGAATTTATCCGAAAGTCAATTGAAAACGCTGAGCGAGGTGTGCGTGTTGGCTGAGCAAAGGGCGGCAGCGAGAGAGAGCAAAAGGATCGAACAGCAAGGAGGTAAAAATAATGAACGCATCTATTCCTTATTACTTTTATTTCACGTGTTTTTTCATTTTTAATACATTTTAATCAATGTCTTCCTCCAACAAACTCGCGCCCACCGTGATAATGCTAAGCGGCGTCGCTGTGCCGTCGTCAACTTGATTTATTATGCGCTTTTTCTTTCTGAAAATCGTCAGGCACGGGAACCATCTGAAAAATGATAACATAAAATCAGATACCATTTTAACTAATAGTAATAATTGTAAAAACAAGTATGATATACGGTGTTTTAAAAGTGGTTAAAATATATCTAATGTCCGCTTTTTAACAAATTTTCCTGGACTAAATCGAAAAACAAAAGATATAATCTTATAATCACCAAAAAACTGAACATGCAGTTATAAACTAACAATAGAGAAAAATTTAATCATTTGTTGTGTTACATTTATGCAATATAAAACAAATAAATCCAATTACGGAAACATAGATCTGATCGTTTTTTTGAAATTAGATGCTCTTATATTGATACGACGTCATAGACTAGGAAATATAAAAAAGTTTTAGAATTTCAGTGAAATCAAAATATCTTTCAGTTAAAATATTCGTTATATTATCGATGACAAAATTTGTGTTCCACTAAAAATTAAAGTGACAATGGGTTTGTTAAAATTTTATTTATTTACGGAAAATCTCCTTTTACAAAATAATTATTATCAATAGATATTTTAAACATAACCTAAAGTATCACACAAAAAAGAAAAAAAAACTTAAATATCACAAAAACTTAGAAAAAAACTTAGAACTAAAGCTAACTCAATAAGTACTCCCTCAGCTGATTTTTAAACCTAAACCGACTAACTCCCAAAATATCAGTGTGTCTGTTAATTTCATTTCCTTGCCTTTGAAATCTGGTCAAAGGACTGTTGAGTCCGTAGTTTGTATGATGGAAGCTAATTGAAAATAATGGTTTCTCTCTAATATTTATGTTGTTTAATCTAAAGTTGATTAGCTCCAACATATCCGGACAAGCTATATTCCCTTATAAAGAAATAAAAGATCATTACTAATTAACGTTTTCTCAACTGACAATAAGTTAAAATGGTTATTAAGCTCCCTCTTAGAAATATAAGGCATATGTAACTTCCACTGACAGGTTCTTAAAAATCTATTTTGAACTGCTTCTAAATTTAAAATATGAGTCCGGTAATGAGGTGACCAGACTGGTGAAGCATATAAGAGGATGCTGCTCACTAGTGTTAAGTAAAGGGTTCAGAATGTAGGCACAGAGAATTCCCTAGAGTTCCTGGTCACAAATCCCAATGTTTTCAGAGCCCTACTAATGATGGATCTCATGTGTGGGACAAATGTCAAAGAACTATCGAAGATCACACCTAGATCCTTGATTTCACTAACTTTCTCCAAAACAGTAGTATTGATATTATAAAGAAAATTTTTAGGGTTTTTTGATCTTGTGAAGGTGATTGAAAAACATTTACGTTGGTTTAAAGACATGGCATTATTTAAAGCCCATTTAATAAAATAGTTTAAATCATCCTGTAACTTCAAACAGTCAGGTAAGTTTAAGATTTCCATGAATAATTTCAGGTCATCGGCGAATAGTAGGAACTTACAATATTTAAATCCTGAACTTACATTTATTGGAATCGAAGTAAAACTTTTAACTTTGACATATTGAACCCTGGATTGCAGGTAACTTTCTAACCAATTCACTAAGTAGTTTGGAAACCCGAATTTCACTAGTTTCCTTAAAAGCAAATCATGGTTCACCGTGTCAAATGCCTTCGAGAAGTCAGTGTAAATTGAGTCAACCTGACACCCCCTCTCGAAGGCAGAAATGATATAATGTTCGCAGAACAATAGGTTATAGGTATTCATTAATACATTAATTCTAATATTTTCAAGATTGTTTTTAAACATTAAGAATAATTTGGTTACATATCTTTCAACTACTGTATGACTTGAAAAAAAAAACTAAAAACGTATATTAAAAATTTCAATGGTAGAATGGTTTATTTTTTGTTTAAAATTAACTGTCAAAGGAACACAAATTACGTCACATTAATTTAACGTATAACGTAAAAAAAATTCTTAGACTATGTCGAAGGACATAAAATTATAATCTAGGAATATTTACAAAAAAATTGGAAAATGGAGTCAAAATCCAAAAAATTAATTGAATTTTTTTTCACAATAGTTATGACCCACAATTAAAAAAAAATACTGAAATAATTAAGAACATTTCACTCTAAATATAAAGGAGACTTAATGGTTTTTATGCAGTGTACTCTTGTAGTCAATTGGAATTATGCTTTCTGTGGTTGGCTGAGTGTTGCAAGCTAATATTAATATTTTGGAAATTCTAAAACCGGAGGTAATCCAAAATTAGACTATGCAAAAGGGTACTATTTTTAAAAAATCAGATATTGGTACCATTGCATAAATACAGCGTAATGTGTACTACAATATGACCAAAAAATTCAAAAGTCCCTTTAAAAGTTAAGTAAATTGTTAAACATTTAATAAACGGCCCAAAAAAAACAAAATGCTAATTCTTCGGTTTTATCTTATGAAAAAATTGCGAAATATGTTGTACTTTTTATGTTTATACTACGAAATTAGGTAAACAAGCTTTTAAAACAAAAATAGCTACTCATAAAAGTTTCTAAAATGTGTTTAGATCATAATAAAACATCAACCACATTTGTATGTCTTATATTAATCAACTTATGTTAATTAATATAAAACGGCTGCCGCGGGTGATCTACCGTCGGCTAACGGTGTCTCTGTTCGTATGGCTTTGTGTATCCCATCTTTATTGCACCTTTGAATGTAAACTTATATTTATCTATTTTGACTGACAATTTTTACAATAATTTAATAAATACTCAATTTCATGAAATTTTTAATATTGAAAATATTCTTTAAAGTGAAGTTTCTCACAGAACATATTATTCTTTTGTTTGATAAACATACGCCATTGAAAACTATACGTATTACTTAACCTTATGCACCCTGATTAACTTATCCAATCAAATTATTAAGGAAAGAAATTAGATTACAAACTGATTGGGATAGGTATAAGGAATTAAGAAATATCATTCTCTCCTCTATACTTTGTGAAAAAAAGAGTATTTTGACAACCTGTTTAATTCCCATAAATCCAAGAATTTATGGAAGGGTCTAAATAAACTTCAATCCAGAAAGCAAGAAATAACCCTACCTATTTCGTTGTAAAAACCTGAAGAAATAAATAAGTACTTTTGTTCTGTTTTTCTTGATAATGAAGTAGATAATGACCTAGCATTTGATTTTATAACTGTCAGAGAATTTAATAAGCTCCATAATATCAAATCTAATGCCATGGGTTCTGATTCTGTGTCAATCTCCATGCTGAAGTACTGTAGTCTGCATATGGATAATTACATTACGCACCTTCTAAACTGTTGTAGTCAAAGAAACTACTTTCCAACATCTTGGAAAATTGCAACAATTGAGCACTTTCTAAAGTTGCACAACCTCAGAATTTTTCTGATTTAATGCTTATTAGTATTCTGACTGCGATATCCAAAATTCTTGAAAAGGTTATCTATAATAGAATTTCCCTTTATATTGATGAAAACAAAATACTTCCGGATTGCCAGGCTGGTTTCCGAAGTGGCTACACTACATCTGTTACACTTTCTCAAGTTACTAATGATATAAGAAATATAGACAGAAGACAAATTTACAGGACTTGTTGCTTTGGACTATTCCAAAGCATTTGATAATATCAATCACAATCTACTTTGTTTCAAACTAAAATATTTTGGTTTTTTTGAAAATTCTGTTCATCTCATTCATTCATATTTGTCTAACAATACAAGATTGTAAGTAGCTGACCTACCCTAAAAATATTGTAAACCTGAAACGAAAAAATAAAGTAAATGATAACAAAAAAGAAACAAAGGAAAAATCAAAAAATAAAAACAAAATAAACAAAAATATGTATAATTAAATAAAATAGATATTTATATAATTATAAACTCAGGTATTTTAATAGCTGTAAGTTAAAATATTAAAATAATAATGTAATCATGTAACAATACTGGATAAATCAATTAAAGACTTATGGATTACTACAATAGTCTGACCTTTTGGTTTTATCCAGTGCCATTATTAAAAAAAAAACAGTAGTCAAAAAGTTCTTTTAAATAATGAATTTTCTTCATTACAAAACGTAAAGTCTGGTGTCTCACAGGGCTCAATATTAGGACCATTGCTTTTTATTTTATATAAAAGTGATATCTTAACAGCTGTTCGCAAGTGTAAAATACAAGCATATGCCGATTATACCCAACTTTATTATACATTGATCGTAAAAATTATCAAGTTGCTGAACGAGCCTTAAATGAAGATCTTGATCTTATTCATAAATTGTCAATTAAACATAACCTTATACTCCTATTTGGAAACAAAAAACAACGGAATTACCTTAGTCAAAGTCTTTCCATAAAAATTGATCAACTAACTTTACCTATAACGAATTTCATAAAGAATCTAGGCATTCTGTATGACTCTGATCTCAATTTCCACTTGCATGTAAACAACTTTTTAAAAAAAACATTTTCTTTGACTTTAAAAAAAAGTTATATTTCATAAGTGGAAAGTGAAAAAAAAAATGTTATCAGAGTCCTTAGTTTTGTCTATTTTCTCATGTGGTGATGTTGTCTATGGACATTTTATTGATTCTTATACACAAAACTGCATACAAAAAGTACAAATTTATTCTGCTAGATTTATTTATGGACTTCGAAAATATGATCGAATAACTCAAAATTTATTAACTATAGTATATTATTAAACGAGCAATTTATGGTAGCCATTATTCACGCAGGGTGACGTTTGCGTCCCGAGCCGTAGGCGATTTTTTCGATTTTTTTCGATTTTTCGATTTTTTTGATTTTTCGATTTTTCGATTTTTTGATTTTTTGATTCTTTGATTTTTCGATTTTTCG